GTCATGTCGGCCGTGAACGTAATCTTCGAGCGGCCATTAGTTCCATCAAAAGTGTTCCATTGCTGATGACCGTCCGCCGATCGCGTGCGGATCCGTGACACGATTCCGACGTAGTTCTTTATGTTTATTTTTTTTCCTGAATCTTGATCAGCCGAGGACACACTGGCGATCGACAGAATGCAACGGCGGCGCGATAAGCAAGAACGATAAAGCGCTTACGAAGATCTGCCCCACCCCTCGCTCTCGTGGCGTATTGCGACGCAAACGCCAGGACGCTGCTCTTGTCGCAATTATTATACGCGAAATGTGTGTCATTCTGAAGTCGCGCGGAACTGCAGACGAATCCGCGTCACGCGAAAGATCGCGGATCTTGCCGCGCTCGTCGTGCGAGCGTGATATAATCGTTAATCACAGGTCGATTCGATTCAACGAGGCCCGCAGCGGTGTAATCTTTATTATACTGCACGGGAGCGTACAGAGAGAGAAAGAGAGAGAGAGAGAGAGAGAGAGAGAGAGAGAGAGAGAGAGAGAGAGAGAGAGAGACGCTTCGCCTGGAAAGATACTCACATACTTTGATTCCCGCGGCTATATTTGCCAGGCGAATCGCGTGCAGAGTAATTGTTACGTGGTCCTTTATACCTTCGGCCATGTCGTGATTGGCCGAGGTGGATAATCGGCCGGGGCCCGCCCGCGTTGCGGGGACCCAGTCACCGAAGATCCGGCCCCATTCGTCGCGACGCGACACAAAACGACGTGGAAACGTACGTTCCGGAAGAACACGCCGATGTTACCATTGTCGTTCTCCGCACTCGACCGCCATTTGACGTACGCGCGCGTCTCTCTGTTCTCTCATCTCGCTTCTCGACAACGAAGCGATCACACCGATAAGAGCCTTCGTACACTTACGTGTACTTATGCGCTCACTTATGTGGGATATGACGCAAACGTCCCCATCTATCCGTTCTGCACAACGCTTTTGCGTATCGCGCGTTAGCGTTAGCGCGACGCGTGGTCGCTCTTTTTTTTGCGCGAGCAAGACGGGATTCTGTCGACACAACGGCAACAACAACGGCCTGTCAACAAGATGCCTATCGCGCGGCACGAAAATTGTTGATTTTTCCTCGTTTGCGGCGGGGCACACCGCGCGGTCTCGTGCCTTTAATCGTCGCGAAAACAGATTCGACTCCCCGCCTCATTCTGTCTCCCTCTTTCGCTCGATGGTCCTCCGGCTGATCGGCTTTGATAAAGTTTACGTTGATTCCCGGTACCGATGTATATCCAGCGTCGCTTTGACGAGGGGCTGCGATGTCCGGCGACGCGTAAAATCAGGGGCGATTAGTTGGAATGCACACAATTAGCGCTGCAGTTGCCCGACACGGTATTACATTCCGCGCGACACGCGTAGGCGAACGGTCGAATAACACTTTTTGCAATGGATCTAATACCCGGCATTGGCAACTTAGAGATTCGCATGTAATATATGCATGTACACAAGCCGGATCTCCAGTTTGTGGCCGCAATTTACAGGCTGAGTCGGTATAATTGCAAAAAGTGCGCTCGCCCACGCACGCTCTTCGCGTATTTCATTGCTCCAAGAATAATTGTCATTTTGGGCCGTTGAAATTATCTGTATGTTTCGATATTGTTATTTCTGTCATTCTTCCTGGCGAGACAAGGGCGGCTGCATTCTCGCAAACGATGTTTTCCATGTCGGACGATACCGAGCGCAATTGATTTCGCATTATCGCGAAATTACGAGTACTCTGGACGGGAAATTAACCGTGATTATTACACTTTGGACACACTAGGTGGAGTATGCGTATCCGGCAAACAGATCCTTAACGAGAGTTTGAGAAATGTTACGCTGAGATCGGGGTTAATCGGAGGTGAGCCGACTCATCTTAGACAGATGTCGAAACCAACCGCAAAGTTGAAAGGGCCGTTATCCCTCCGTTACTTCGTACGACTAATCTCCGATTTCTCCAAGTCGATACGAAACGGTCACTTGGCCGCATTTAGCCTAATTCGCAATAATCGCCAAATGCTTGCGTAAAACGACGTAACTTTGATTAATGGCTTCGATATTTTCGCCACAGGATCGCGAATAATGATAATATTGATCAGTTATAAATATAGCACTGTAATCAGTAAGATCTCGCTGAAAGAAATCGTTGATAGTAACGACTGTTTCTATTAATGATGCAGTTTGCAAACACAGACAGTGTCATTGCACGTACATCGCATGGAAGCCGGTAATTTCATCGTCAGAAAGTTGGATTTGACCCAGGATTGATATAACGAATTCGTAGTGCACAGAGTTTACGGTAAAGTCTTTCTTCCACTGGTCAAAATTAGTGAAATATAAAATGAAGCAGTAAAGTGAAAGTATTCCCAGTGAAAATCAATGAACATTCACTGATTATCGGTGAAATGCTTCTCTCACTGATTCAATAAGAAATATTTGATTCCCTTTAAGAGAGTGTAACAATATATAGTACTTTGCCGCGTTAGATTCACCAGAAATTTTGCTATTGCAAATGAAATTCATTCGAGACTGAGGCAACTTTTTTTGCTTTTATCCCCCATCCTTTTGTCCCCAGCACTTATATCGCTCTCAAATACAATTTTCGACCGCTTCAATGCCGTTTCCCAATCGCGAGGCGTCTTCGTTTAAAGGCACGTGCAAAATCGCGAAATCGAGTGTGTCCGAAAACAAAGGGCACCGCTTGTCGTCCGATACCGGTGACGTCTGTGGCACCGAATTCACCGAACCACAAAAAAAAATATCTTCCGCCCGTAGACACCAATAAGAGCGGGCACGAGCCGTCCCTCATTTCGTGTCCGCACAACTTCTCGCAGTCACCGGCGCGCGAAATGTCCCTCGGCCTTTGATGTCGAACGTTACGGAATACGAAGGATCTCGCGGGGGAGCGGAATTCGGCGCTCTACCACCCCCGGTGATCACTTGTAAATTGTCGCGACGCGCTCGCGTCGTCTCCACCCCTTTCGAGTCGCGCGCAAAGAGAGAAAACACTTTCCAGTATCGTTCTCGCACTTCAACGAGTGATCGCGGCAAGAACGTGCCGTCAGACTGGCCCATCCCTCCTCCCTCCCTCTCTACCTCCCTCACGAGATGGTGAGACCGGGAAACAATTAAGGGAAGGCGAGGCGCAGTGTCGCCTTGTATAATAATGCGTTGTAACCTCGGCACAGGAAAAACGACACGTAAAGGAAGAGGAGGATTACACGGCGCGGAGGAGCGCGCGGAACGTAGCGGGAGGGTGCGGCTAGAAGAGAATACGAAGCGGAGGGCCACGAGGTAGTGGAGGTCGCGGTTCTTACTTTGCATTCTTTTGTGTGTCCTCCTGAGCCCTCTTCCACCCACCCCCGCCGCTACCCTCAGTCGTCCTCCTGCCTCTTGAAGCTTGAACTAACGCCCGAGGTTTTAATGCACTTGTCTACTCCACATACCGTTCATAAAGACACATATGCCGGTCTGTTGAACGAGCGGGCAGGAGAGCGCGGTCTTGGAGAGTGGAATGAGAGCAGGACCGTGAGCGCGGAGGAACGTTGGAGGCTGAGGGTGGGTTAGAGAGCGAGATAGGGAAAAAGAGGACGGTAAAGGAGAAGTCGAGAGAGAGAGAGAGAGAGAGAGAGAGAGAGAGAGAGAGAGAGAGTGCAGAAGAGAATGGCGCTGAGCGTAACGATATGAAATGCATTTTAAATTCTAAGCATCGACTGCGAGAAAGATGTCGACTCCTCGCTTGCATAATCCCGCGGGAAAGACGGAAATCGCGGCGAAAACCGAGGTAGAAAGAGAGAGAGAGAGAGAGAGAGAGAGAGAGAGAGAAAGAGAGAGAGAGAAAGAGAGAAAGAAAGACGAAGAGAGAGAAGTAGGAGGCAACGATCTCGTGATTTTTGCACGGACACGGACGGTCGAAGAACCCACTGTCCTCTGCGCCCGGCAAGTTATGACAGACGTTACCTAATATTCAGCGTGCGCGCGCTGTTATCATTTCGCGTATTATATATTCATATCGCCTTTCGCACACTCTGTATATTCAGATCAGGCGGGGACTGCGAGCTCTCACATAATATTTTTAGTCATAAATGAGAATCTATACGGCAGCGTTGGAAATTCGGAAAGTTATTCCGCAAAATACAGACCGCACTTCGAAAATAGATTCAAGGCGATGAAATAATAAAATGACAAACGAATGGTCTCTGCGCGGCGAAAAAGATTTCGAACGCGGGAACTACCCGAGTCGAAATATTGGCTTTACATTAAACCCGCCAATTTCGTCGAACTTGAGGGACGAATGAGGAATCCCGAGACATAACATTATACAAGGCTATATATACAAGCTATTGTCTTATCTCGAAATTACAAGTGTCTACTCACTGCCATTTTTATTTCACGTCAAAGTTTATTTCAAAATTATTTCATATTCTCGATTATATCTATGAATATTTTACCTGCGTCTAATCTTTATTCTCAACTTTGATAAGCAGTATATCAATGGTATAATTTACTTAATGTATATAGAATATGTAAGATAAGCATTAAATATTAAGAAATTAATACAGGTAAATAATGAAATTAATGGTCAAACAAAACTTCCTCTATTCAGAATCATTATTATTTTTTTATTGACGTTAGAAATTTCGATAAAATAATATTTTAGATTTGAAATCAGCAAAATTTTTACTAGATTCTAAAACCGGCATTCATAGATATAAATTATTTGCAATTTTTATGGAGAACATAACTATAGATACATATCTATGTACTCTCCGTTATTTGACTGTTTGGATCAACATTTCTTGTATAAAAATAAATATAGATTGACAAATAAAAAATTGAAGATTCACAAAGTTACAACTATTTATTAAATAACAAATTATGCATGCCGATTTCGTTTCAACTTTTATTCTCAGTAAATTTGTCAAACGTCTATCAAAAAATAATAATGCCTCGCGTAATAAATGATTTCACGCACCTGAAAGTATGACTGACGATGTCTCATTTTCCCCGTCTCAGCTTCCCGCGATCCTGCTACTCTGTCATGGCACTACAAATGCTCATCGTGGCACTGACATCGGCACTGACACTCGCGTAGATGTGACTCGATCAGAAAAACGTTAATTAACGCGTCGCCGCCGAGAGGCCGATTAAATATTTCAATAGTCGAGGCAATATTTTAATCACACGACAGGAATGATAATTAACGCACCGACACGCGTACTACGGTACGTGCGGTTCACTCGCCGGTTCGGCACGTAATGTACGACACTTGGATAGCTGCGCAACGTACGAGGCTGAATCCGAGCGTCTTAAACGTCCGGGATGTTTGAAACGTGTTATTTGTTTTGATTACACTTGGCCGCGTGCGACGACGGTTGACGGTTGAGAACGGGCGATTTTTTCACTTGTCTTATCGATTGTTTTGATACTTTCGCGCGTCGCGTACTTCTCCGTGTACTGAGTCATTGTGTTTCGAGCCGGCAAGAGCGACAGGCATACCGCGACGCGGACTACCGTATCAGTGCGTTAATTATAATGTCTATCGAGTGATTGAAATATTTCGTCGGCGTCGCATAAGTTAACACGCGTTTCTCCGACAGAGTCGTGTCCATCGCGCGAGTGTCAGTGCAACCACTGAGTGTCCAGAGTGCTAAGACGAAGTGGCAGAATCCGAATGCCAAGACGAAGGATGCGGACAACGATACATTATTTATTTGCAGGTCAGTAAAATCATTTATTATACACTACGTAATCGGTGTTTTCAGCGACTGTTTAATAAAATTTGAGGATGAGAAAGTATTCGAGTTGAAATTTAGATCGGTATTCAGAGTCTGTCATTTTACAAATAATTATAGCTTCGCGAATCATTAATTACTAGTCAATCTGTACCTGTTTATCTCATACAAGAAATATTGATCCAAACATCCAAATAACGGCTCACGAATATGAATCTGTAATTAATTATACCCTCAAACAAAAACCGTATTCGTAATCATATTTTCCACGATAAATATCGACCTTAAAATCTAACGTGAATCTCGCAAGTATTGATTTGCGCGTCTAATAACGCTCCTTGAGCCGTGAGGCCGATTTACACCTTAATCTTTTAAATTACGTAATATTTGCTTATCTTATATATTATTCCTTATCTGCAATCAAACCAGCGTGTGATATAATTAATTATTGATTGAAATTAAAAATAAAGATTAAATGCAGGAAGACAGAAAAGTTGAGATGAACGTTACGTAATTATGAGATATTGTAGTTCTTTCAAGCTACAGAAAAACAACAAGTAAACGTTTACAGTATCAAGACAGGACAATAGTTCGTACATCCCGAGATTGTCTATTGATCTTTCTATACAATTCGCTGGAATGTATAAAATTAATGTAGATCTAAAATCTCGATTCGGATATCGGGAAATAAGAAAAACCGAGTTTTTACCGTGTCTGCATCCTAACAATTTTTCTTCGTCACAAACGTGACATTTTCTACCTGTTCCTTTTACGCGTTATTTTAAAGTACAGATAATAATCCTTGGACGCGTTTAACTGCGTTTTAGTTTTGGCAGCCGCGTTAGTTAGGCAGCATCAAAATTCACACCAACGAAGGACACGAATGAAATAGAAGTATCGGAATTTTTATACGGTAGATCGAGCACATTCGATAAATGCATGCTCGATAGTGTCAAGATGATACCGACGTGATAAGCCCGTAATAATGTTTCCGTAACAGACAACACTGTGTGTTGCACGCTACGCCCGTAATCCACGTAATCATCAATTTGGCGTGGAAATAAATTAACGAGCGACAAAATCCCGCATTTTACAACGTCCGATTGTCGAGATCTCAATGAGATTAAAGTGAAAGAGAGAGAGAGACTTACCTCTTGCGTCCCAGTATCCGCGCACCAACCAGCTCTCTACTACGGCGTCATTCGTCAATCTAAACAAACAAAATGGACCTTCAGAAATTCGACATTCGTCTCGAGCGAGCGGTGTTCTTTTTTTTTATTTTTTCCCTCTTTTTCTCTCTATCGCGCTCGGTACTGTCACGGTTACACTACGAGCACATTATCGAGGGCGAGAATGCGCGCGAATCCGCACATTGAAGCGTGCAGCGGCTCCGCGGCGGAAGCAGGCGAGCAATTTTGCCATTTCTCGCGGGCACCTACATAATGCGACGTCGGGGTCGAAGGTGTACCCAAGTACGCCGATTCAAGGCAGGCAGCGCGCACGGCAGGTGCCGGGAGGTCCTTTCAGACGGAGGGAAAAGAAAGCGGGCGCTAATAAATTCGCGCTTCATTCATTCAGCGCGAGTAAGTGGGTGCGGGAGGACGCGGGAGACTCTCCTTCGAGATGTAATTAGCACATCTTCGCGCGACGTGCCGCGACAATGCGGCCTTTAATTAGTATGCGTCCACGACCGATTCCTCGCTCCCCTCCCCCTCCCCCTCCCTCGGCTGCGACAGCTCTCGCTGGCACCCTTCCGCGCTCATAGACGACGGCGAACACACGTGGTCGATTTCACGCGCACGCACACGCACAGCCACACTCGCGCACATGCACGCACCGGGGTGCAGCAGCGAACCGTGCGCGTTTATGTCGGCGCATCACACGCCGTTGCACCGCAGAAGTGTCAATACGTGGGTGCGTGTACGCGCGCGTTGAGCGAGCTCGCGTGCACCGGTTTGCATTACGGCGGATACTCGAGCACGTAAGGCGTTCCTGCGGTATAAAGAGCCGCACGTTATGCGTCGGCATAACGATATAATTCGATGTGCCGCGTTTATTTTCCGCTCGTAAACCGCCCGCGATCGCGCGTCGCCGCACCGACGCTCTCGTGCCGTCGGCACGAACTCGTGGAGGCGCTCATTGGCGAAACAACCCCTGACTGTCGAGCTCGCTGGGAATAAATCGTGCATTGCCTGTCTGTGTTGGACGCGATTTACGCTGATCTCTTTCTTAATGAAAGTCTGATCGAGGCGCAGCCAGGCAGTTGCGATATTGTAATTTCAGGTGTCAGCGCGGCTTGTACAGTCGCGAGTAGTTCGCGCGTAGCGCGAACGGGGACTGTAAATTTCAGCCGGTGAGGCAAATGTCGGGACTTAACAAGGAAGTATCGAGTTTACCGGTAAACGTATCGAAGGAACAAAGACGCGCTTGAATTCGCTGATAATTTTCTTATGGACTGAGGCAATTTTGCGTGCATTGATTTCAGCGGTGAAAACGCTCCCAGCCAACTTGCGAACTTGGTCAACGACGACGCGCATAACTCAGGGACGCGACGACGCAATGATAAGTCCGCGAGCAGTACAAAGTAAATTACGCCAACCGAGCCAAGTGCTCGCTAACGATGCGTAGAATACGATGACGCGCGCGAATGACGTTCCCCGCCTTGCCTCCTCATTCTCCCCTCTTGAATTCCCCGCTTTGCTGAATCAATCGCGGCCGAATGCGAGCACGCCGATCCTTCGTTTTCAGCATCGACTAAGGTCATGCATTCAGATGCGCTCGTTCCCACGCCTTAAAGCCTGAAAACTTTATCGTCGAGCGCAATCGCGCAGATATGACGCGCGATTGCTGGTCGTGACGCGCTAACGCGATACGTCGATTCGCAATTACCGTGCGAGCCTCCACTCGTATTCTCGAGACAATTGTAGGGGGTGACGAAGGACACCAATTGCTGCTGAGCCAGCGACAGAAAGCTGCACGATTTCCGGGATGTGCGTTGATATCTGACATTAGATCGAGTGTCGCTCACGAACGCGCGTGATTACGCGCGGCCGTGCGCAGAAGGGCAAACAAAGAGGGAGGAGGGGAAGACAGGCGAAAGAAAATTCGCGGCATTCGGGCTATGATCTTTCTCTTTTTACGCCAAGTCATGAATGTGGAATAATTTCTCTACAAAATTAAGACGAACCTCATAATTATTGCAACATTCCCACTTAACTATTGACACTCTGGATGCTAGTCTTTTATTTTCTACGATCAGCTGCATCTGTTCACAGTTTTAGTAATCGTGCAGATCTTTTTTGGAAGCATAGAATATACGCAAGAAGTCTGCGATGCTGATAGCGTGAAAAAGCAGACTTTCTTTTTAGAATGCCAATGATCAAGGGAGATGCTAATAATTGTGTATTACTCATCTCACGAATCTAAATTATTTCACAAGTTCTCAAATAATATCACTGGGAAGAGACATCGCGCGAATTGGATCGAACATTTTGAGGTCTCTTTACCTCGTGATTAATGCGCGGAATCACAACGGAAGACAGCATCGAATTTTACGACACGCTCGGAAAGACATATCGACGATACATCTCGCAGAGAGAAGTAACTAGCGCGGCGTAAAATTTGTCCGAAGTGTCTTTAATGTAACTTCCGCTAAACAGCGAGGCGTTCGATCCACCTCCGTATGCACCGACACGATTACGTATCAGCACGGCATTTATAAACGTATTATAATTTCATTCAGCCTGATGGGAGAACGAAGGACTAAATATGCAATGAAACGTTTTACATTCATTACTATCGAAATACTATTTTAATTGCGGCAGCGTGCTCGCGCGCGCGCAAGCGTGCGATGTGCGCGTCGGACACAACGGCAGTTTAAAACAGCCGATCGAAAAGTCGAGTTATATCCGATTTCGGAGCGCGCGATCTGTGTCAATGCCACGATTTACCGTTGCGAGCCTTTCGGGAATTGAACGAATATTGAAATTGCGGGAAACGCACAGAACTTTTGCATAATGAGCTGGCGGCTCACGCCGTCACACGGACGCGCACGCACACCGCGCCCCCGGTGCCGGCGCGTACATGAATATTTTCATTTGATTGCGTTAATTAAACTCGCGCTGCCAGGCGATGACCTTTGAAGTTCAGCGGCACGCGGCACGCATACACCAATTACCGATATTATTAATTGCAATGTGCTGCCCATTTTCGGAAGTCATTGAGTCCGCGTGGCGATTCACGGAGCGCGACTCTTGCGTCTCGTCCTTCGCCAAGGAAAAGGTCGGAAATACCAACACGCACTTAACTCTGGATATTCTTATTGTTTTGATGTTTAATGAGGGTCACTTGGGTATATGACACTGGAATTCAATTAGTAGATTCACTATATGAATATACATCTTATGTCTTGAAAGTTTGAATGTTCGTATTTGAAGATCAGAACAATAAGAATGTCCGGCAGAAAAAATATTTGATATTTGTAATTGTATCGAAGAATAATTACTATAAGTTATGATCAAGGAAACCATTCTTTCTGTTAGACTCTACTAAAGTGAGTGATAATAATTTTATATGCATGTTACTATTACCATTTTCGTGTTAGAAACAAATATGGTTGGGGCCAAAAATAACTATAATTGTGATTATCCATCTTTCTCTCTCAGTGTAGGCATTGATACTTTTGCCGTTTTCTCGAAGATGGCGTTTCGTCGACTGTCAAAATTTTGTCCAAACCCCGAAAATGTCGAAGCGTCGGTACGAGTTTTTGTACAGCGTTGCACACGACGTTAATTAGAATTAGAAAGACGTTGCTCTGTATTGTCGTACTGTATTGCGTACTTTACGCTAACAATAACCGCGTCCTTAATCGTTCTATGTGTTTTGCGGTTTACTTGCATCGATGCGAATTACATCCCATGTACGTACCACCGCAAGCGATTACAAAATCGCTCACGCGATGATGCTATACTCGCTGCACGCATCGC